TCTATCTATCTATCTATCTATCTATCTATCTATCTATCTATCTATCTGTGGTTCATATAGAGGCAGAGTTAACACAGACATCTGAAAACTACTGAGGATGTGCAGGATTGCAAAAAACACGGAGCCCTCGACCTTTCACAGATGGATCGGCTGTGTTATTGGAACGTGTCCCAGCATCATCACTTATCTGTGGTTTCCTAAACAGCTCCGGAGCTCTCACATTTTATTTGTTACACCGGCTTCACAGTTTTTCTGCAAGCCACAGCGTCAGCTGCGAACAGGCCGCTGCAGAGCTCCAGATGTGGACCTTGTCACTTCTGTAATCCTGTCATCCGTTTAGCCTCTTGTACATCTTCAGTTTCTATTGAGTGATGCTTTTGGCGTGGGAGTATATTTGTCTCTGCGGGGTAATCAGGATGCAAACAGGGGGCCAAGAATTGGTTAAATAGATGCCTTCATTCAGATCAAACAGGAAAACAGTCAAATACATTGTTACGAACATAGCACAAAAACATACTTAACATAAAGGAGATAAAAAGCTATTATAGGATAGAGGATAGCCAATCACTAGCAGAATAAAGCAGTTTAGCTGATAATGCAGTCCTCTGAGGATGTCACATAAAGGCAGTTTCTTCTTAAGGCTGCCCAGGTGATGAGGGCATGTCACTCTAAACCTAATCTCCTTTGTCTGTGCCTCTGGGGTATGCTCACCGGTTGCAGTGATTGACAGCTAAGTTGAATTTCTTTAAATCCTGCATACATTGTGTATTACACATCTTCTCCAATTTATAGGAGCGGCCTCTTGTCTTGAAACAGTAGTTTCAACATGTGTGGGTCTAACCGCTGCCTGGGATGCTTTGAGGTGCCTATTTTAAGAATGAGGGATGCGGCACACTTTGCTGCATCAGGGACAAAAAAAGAAACTAAGTGTGAATTTCTGCCGACCGGGTAAAAATATCTTCAAGGAGAAAGATCTATTTGTTGTCACCAGAAAAATAGACAGAGCAGCAGTATATAATTACACAATCCAGTTAATTAATTATTGAAATACTGTTGATCGGTTTCTGATCGATGTGACTGTAGTAATTGAATTTTTGCAGACGGAATTTAGGATTTAGAGGTTTGTGCTACTCACTACAGACCAGATTTCGAGATTTTGTTAGAGTGTAGCTGAAGGGAAGCAAGAATGTTCCCAATAGAATTGAAATAAAAGATGGGTCGTTTTCTCCAGAGATCCAGACACATGTATCTCTGTACGATGGACAGAATCCCTATCAGTCAGCTATTGATTTCCTGCTCTGAACCCATGAATGGAGGAAGTAGCATCCTGGGATATTCATCCTAGATTGATGCGTCTCTTTGTACAATCAATATTGAGAGCAGCTTTAAGTATTAATAGTAAAATGGATTGTAAGATGTTAATTTGACGTGTTTCGCAGCTGTAACTATTTTCTGCAATGGTCCCTCGGTTTACTCTCCAGTGTTCAGAAACTCAGCGAGTTCTTCTCAAGCGATGAGATCGGAGACGAGCAGGAGCCCAGAGCAACGCTAACGTCTGGCTCCAGCAATCACAACCAGAATAGGTACCAAGCTGTGGTGAGTATATGCACACCTGTTCGACTTGACTGTGACAGCTGTTCTGATCAGTCGGGCTTTCTCATTGAGTTTCCAGTGTTGTCCCGTTCCACCATCCTGTTATCCTACTGTTTAAACCTCTACCTCCTGTGCTGTTGGCTGTAATTCAACCCTCCCCCAGTCGTCCTCTAAACCTGTCCCTTCATCCTCCTTCCCCTCTTTGGCCAAACTCCTTCAGCCGTTGAAGGTGGTGAACCGGAAGCGCCCTCCGAGGGACGACTGGAACAGCTACACACAGGGGGAGCAGGACGGCCAAGAACCGCCCCACGAACTGGACCAGAACATCTGCATTAAAGTGAGACAGCTCGCAGTGAAAACCGGCTTCATATCTGATGATGGCCTTTAAGTGAAATGGGTGTCGGCTGGTCTTCATGACACTTCTATAAATAGTGCTTGGGCATAAAAAGGCACTTTTATTGAATGTCAGAAGATGGGTGACAAAAAACTTTATGACCTGATTTGAGCAAAACCCATTTCCATTGTGGTTATGGCTTAGAAAGACAATGATTGAATAAAAAATTATTGTTAAGTTTAATTTACGAACCAGTTGGATGTCTTTTCTTTGCACTTTGGGAAATGTTTTTCTCCCTCATCTTTCTTTGTCTGTCTGCGTCAGTATTAAAGTGGAGCTTCTCTCTGAGTTTGAGCTTTATGCCCTCCTGAGTGGAGCATAGCTGCCAGTCAACAGCATTTTCAAAGGGGAGTTAATTAGCCTGAGGTGTCATTATCAAAGCTCTGCGCAACACTCAAATGATCTTTTATTCAACTCAGAGTGATGAGTCCTGCTGAGGAATCACTCATTCGCAGCGATCAGGCTGAGGTTTCAATGGAATCTTCACTTTAGCTGCAGGATGGCACTCCAAATATTCAGGATGCAAATGGTTATCTCTTGGTATCTCTCCTCCTGTGTGACCTGAATAAGAATGACTCAACAGTTTTGCCTGATTTCTGGAGGAAAAACCTTTTAGCTGTGAGTTTGTCAAAGAGGGAGGCTTGTTTGACCCATCCAGTGCCTGAAACTGGGACTTTTGTTTCAGATAACCAGCGGTTATTTCACCTGGACAGATGGACCAGCAACTCTGTCTAATGTGGATATAAAGATTCCCTTCGGTGAGCATCAGGTGTCGCCCCCCTCGATTCTGTCTCTCTGTCACATTACGCAGTCCTCACTTAAGCTATCCTAACTTCCCTCCGCTGTAATCTCTCAGGTAAGCTGACTATGATTGTGGGTCAGGTGGGCTGTGGGAAGTCGTCTCTGCTGCTGGCCGCTCTGGGGGAGATGCAGAGGGTGTCAGGAATGGTCACCTGGAACAGGTCAGTTTCACATTATATCAGTTTTGTTTAAAGATTTTGCGGTAGGCTCTGGTGATCATTGTTTGCAGTTGACAGAGAAAAGAAAGAATATTTTGGTTTGCACCTCAGAAATATGATTCTGAATCTCTCTTTAGTATCTAAATTATTCTTGTTATATAGGATTATCATACCAGTTTAACAAAAACCATGCCACGGCATAAGAAAAGCAAAAGGATCCTTCTTTTAAGTAATGGAGCTGAGAGGCTGCTTGCTGTAGGAGTAGAGTAGAAGGGGATCTTTTTAAGCACCACTGACCCAGATTCAAAGAGATGGAAATTCTCAGATGATTTGCTATAGCTACAAGCTGGAAAAAAACTAGAGAACAACTCTCTTCGACCAGCTAAATGCTGCAGTAGTTCTTCACATATCCCTCTGAACTGAAAATGTTTTATGTTGGTTGAAGACTAATTTAACAATCCCAAATCCTCTTGATGACTCTGTTCTTGTACAGATTTTTCTAAATGGATTTATTAGTCCTCTGATCTGAATGTGCCTTTTCTCATTAGTATTTATTATGTTTATACCTCTACGGCGTCTTTAGACTGGATCGTTGTGCACAAAAAAAGACAATTAAGTAAATTTTTTCTAATGCTTCCGATGAATGCAATATTGTATTTAGTGGGCAGCTTAACAAACAATACATCATCAAATGTATTAATTAGGACATTAAACGATAAGAGGGCATCACATTTTGTATGTAGTCAACAATTAAATGGAAAAACTGATTTGTTGGCAAAAGCACAGAATCTAATCTGAATGTGTAATATTTCATTTCACTTATTTGTTAATTGGGTAAAAGGTCAGGCCGCTCATGATGTATGATAACTGTGTGAATCCACAGTGCCTGTCAGGCAACTTGAATGCTTGCACTTCACAGCCTTATTGACCTTTGCTAAAGAAAGTTTTAGTCTTGCTAGAGGTGGACTGGCTGCTCTGAGTTTCTGTGAAATAAAAGCCTACTGGTTATAGAGAAGCAGAGCATGTCTGAAATACTTCAGCTACAAGCTTTGTCAGCAAAGTTAAGGGTTCTAGAGTTGATCACAGCCATGTCCTTGGCAGCCAAACTGGCACTAATCCCGGGGTCATGCTGGCACTTCCTCTGTTTCTGGGATTAAATAACTGTCTGGGTGCCAGAGACTCTCACCTATCAAATGTTCCTGAAAGACTAAGTCGCTATTGTCTTAAATGAGCCTCCCAGACATATCGAGACACACATTCTATGGGGGTTTGCTCTCAGGTTCCCTAACATGTTTGTTATTGTTCATGTTTCTGACTGTTTTTCAGTTAGAAACATGACCAAAACTGCCATATAAGGGAAGAAGAGTTAGCTTTAGAGAAAGTCTGCACATCTTACGGCGGATTCAACACAGAACATAACACAGCAAAAACTCATTTCTTAGACTGGAAATGCTCTAGTGAGAAAGGTATAGACGAGATTTATTTATGGCAGCAGGAAGTGGAGGAATGAGAGATGGGGGAACTGAGTGTGCCTGCCAGTTGGGTTCATAATGGTGGTCAAATTCAATCAGCTGGTACTGATGGGCTAATTGTGCTTTTAATTCCTCTGGGACTTCAAATCCAATCTCATTTATTCTCAGAGCAGTTGACCGATTGCAAACATTTTCACCATCAGGTTTGACATATCCATCTCCACTACCTGTCTCATAACTATTACACATTATATACATATTAACATGTCAGTTTGTGGTTGCTTTTTATTAAAAAAACAAAACAAAGTTGCATTTTTATACTTTTAGTCAGTGAGTTGTATTTGTTGATATTATTGTAAGGGCTTGAGTTAAATCTTATCAGTCATTTATGGATGTGAACATGGTTTTTACGCTTTGATTCGCTCTGAGCATTAAGCCCCCGTTCCCCTGAGTGAACAGCATTACCCGTCATCACTCTGGGTTTTAATAGAGAGTGTTTTACTGTTGGGAGCATCCACATTTCAGGAAAATAGACTTTTCTCCCTGGCGGATTTGGAAATGGAGTCATGCATTTTCTAAGATGTTTATGGTTCTGGCTCGGATGTTTTAATGAGGCAGAAAATGCCCCTTGGTGATTCAACCAGCCATGATTACCTCACTGGCTGCAGGATAAAACACAATGACGTCTGGTCTTCTTCAAGTGTTCTTATACTCTGAATTACTCAGTTGGTCGGATAACAGAGGACTTCACCATAAAAAACTCCATGTTTCAGGTTGTTGTTTTTCTGTATTCTTGTCTTTTGTCGATATTTACAAGTTTATTAAGTAGGAAAGGGAAACAAACAAAATAATAGATTAAACAAAACAATCTTTGGACCCTTCAAGGTACCAGCACATAACTCTTATCAGCCTCTTGTTCTTAATGTTAAATTGATTGCATTTACATTTCCATTCACGCGGCTTTTCAAGCTTTGGTGACCACACACTGGCTTCGCCCTACAAACCTCATCTCTCAAACGTGCATATCATACTGGTAAACACAAACCTGTGGTGTCTTATCAGAGGATTATGAAGCTGAAAATTAAACCATTTCAGGAGAAGCCCTCCTCCTCAGCCTGACTGCCTCTATGCAAAACCTTCCTCTTGTTTTCCTGTTGTGGCTGCTAGGCAGACACTTTATGAGCCACCTTCACTGTGGTTCCACCTAAAATCACACATCAATCCACAGCCGGTGCTGTGGTGAACTCACACTCTCTTCCCACCAACTCACACCGAATTGTTCACTCCAACTGTTTTTTTCATTTTGCTCTGATGGAGTTTTGTGCTTCACTGAAGTCAAAGTCCTCCTATGCCATATGTTTTAACAAACAGATGTAAAAACAGAATAAAACCGTGACTTATATATGTTTTTTTAAAGGAGTCTAAATAGACTTTAAATCACTAATAGTTTAATTAAGTTTTTGTAAGTTTTGTTTATTGATATTTCTACTCAAGCTTTAAAGTTTGGATGAAGCCACATAATTTTGTTGCCATTTGAAAAGATAAAACAAACACTTTATGCTGCGGAAAGAGAAATAGAATAGTTGAACTTGGATTTTTTTCTTTAATTGAAATTTTTATTAAAACATTTTTGCTATATTACACATTGTTCAATGTTTAACTCTTCAGTCAAGCCAGTTTTTTATGCATTTCCTTTTAAGAAAAGATCAATTGAATAAAACGTGATTAGGCTATAGAATTGAAAAGGGTTTATTTTGCTACAGGGACTAATTTTAGGAGAAGCTAAGAAACCAAACTGATTTGCTTGATTACTAAATTGCTAGTGCCTACAGAAAACTACTGAATGTATTTTTGCTGCAACTGAACATGTAAACATATAGTCCAAATCTTTTTCTATCTCTTTCTTTTTACGCACAGCCACAGCTGTGTTTACATGTTCAAGTGCAAAATACCTCAGCTTCTCAGATGACAGCCACCACTTCCCTCCTCTCTGGAGCTTTAACGGCTGCTACAGTGAACTGGAGTCCTCACCGTGGATGTACTCTGACATTACAGAAGTCATCTGGAACCTAAGACCTTAGTCAAACAGTTTATTTTGAGCACATCTAACAGCTTTATTAATGGTTATGTGTGTACACGTTGAGTTAGGAATTAGTTAGAAATAACATGCATGTGTTTATGTCAAATGACTTTATTTTATCTTGGATTTGGAGGAATTATTCCTGCCTATAATGTGAACAAATGTAATAATTTCTTATTGTTTTGCAGCTTGCCGAGCTTTGAATCTGAAGGAGATGAAAGGTGAGCACTAAAAATACAGGAAACACATAAACCAACACTGTCATGAACATTCTGTCACTGCCTCTGGGAGCTCTCAGACTGGCTCCAATTTTCTAAAAATATTTGCAGTCTGGATAACTGAAACACTTTACACTCTGCTCTGCATACAGCAAATTTTACACCGTGCTCTAGTTTTGATGGGAGGAAAGACTGAGTTGTTCCACAGAAACTATGGCTCAGGGTTTGAATCAGTACTTTTGAAAAGCTCTGTTGACAGTTTGTAATTGTTACTGATTTAGCAAACGCCCATAGAGGAGTTATTCCACTCTGGCCCGCGGTGGATCATTGTTTCTATTTGAAACCCAACTTGTCGTCAACGCTTGAATTACATGCCACTCACAATGAGGTGTTTGTGTGCTCGGCTTGTGTAAGTTGTCGATGCCTCTGAGCTATTGAACACTCACAGAACAAAAAACAATCAGTTAATAGTTCAATAGTTCTTTGTTAAAGAAATGCTTGGAATATTATCTGAAAATAAAAATAGTCTATGAAGTAATAACTACCAAATAAATATTTCCTCATCAAAAACACACATTTTACTCATATAAGTACCAAAAATCTGAAATGACAAAAAATACAACCAAAAGATGCGAAAAAGGCTGTTGCTTCCCTTCTGCTCTTTTACTTTTGGGCAAAACAACAGAATAGGTGACAGTTAGACTAATGTATAAAAAGCATGGGATGGATGTGAAGACGGCTTTTGTTGAAGTAACACCTTGCTTTATAGGATCTATTCATAGCATAAAGATTTCTTTTGACTGTCCACGGAGGCAAGTGCTGATAAAAAACATTATCAGAAATTTGATGTCTTATTTTTATGTTTTATGTTTTGGCAATGGACAGAGACTATTCCACCACTTCAAACCCGAACAAGTTATAAAGGAAGTTTAAAATGATTTAATAGCTCACAACACGGTGTCAAACTGTCAACCTTTTTTTTCAGCCTTTGTTCTTTCTGCTTTATAGAGCAAATCACATCTGTGTTATGTTTGAGCAGAGTGAGTCACACACAGTCAATTTAAGTAGTTAATTATATCACATTCTTATTAGAATTGTTAATGACCGTTTCTTTTGCAATAAAGTTATAGACAATTAGATGATTTGATCATTAGTAGATCATTTATAATATACTAATTTAATCAGATTTTGATGTAATGGAATTCAAAATAGGTCGAGTTGATTATTTTTTCCAAGGAAAATCTTAATAATAAGAAAACAAGTTTGAGGGAAATTACTTTCAACATTTTCCATTTTCCAGTAAGAACTGGTTTAATCTAGAATTGAACAGCTCATCAATATTGATCTTTTCATCTGATTTACAGATCAGATGAACCGAGCAGTTTCTAATGGACTCGACTGCCCCTTTAATTATGCATCCTCTCGCTGCCAGGCTTCACAAATAGATTCCCTTATTTAAAATAAATTCTTGTAAATGTTCATTTTGTGTACACCTGTGCAAAAACCTGAAACCTGTCAATAGTGGGCAATAAGACACTCGGACGATGCAATCATGTCCAAGCCCGTGTTGACACATGGAGGCCCGACGGGCTGATGCATTTTTCCATATCAAATCTAGGTAGGAGGGAGATGTGGGTGTTATTTTTAGGAAGAATAAGCTCCCAGCTAATGATAGACGCGTTCGTGTAGGGCAGTGTTTGGCCTGTTTGTGTTTGGGCTGCTGAGCACTGGCGTGTTTGCTTTTGGTGAATCATTACAGGAATACGGCGCCACCAACAGGCTGTTGTCCATCTGATGTTTCACTCGTGTCTCTAATGTGTGTTGTGTGTTTTTTACGTTTTATTTGCAGTCCCACAGACAGAGACGCAGCCAGTGATGGAGACATTAGGTGAGCTCAGACGTGCCAGCCTGTCTCCATGGATACACATCCCCCTTAAGAGCAGCACTGCTCGCCGGTATCCAGAAACCCACCACCATTCCCTCTCGTAGCTTCACCCTGGCCCTTGACTACATGTTGACTTTACAAATACAAACAATCACTAATGATCCCCAGACCAGTTGTTAAAGGGCCTGAGTCAGCTTAATGCTGCTCCACCTACTGAAACCTGAGGAGTCCCCGTGGCTCAGAGCTTAAACGGCACCTCAAACGCAACCCATGCATGAAAGAGAAGACACTTAGGTATGGTGGGATTTCCCCCGTTCAACAGCTCTGTGTCTGCTGTCAAAATCCGACAGGAGGAGATGCGCCGTGGCCTACGCCTCCCAGAAGCCCTGGCTGCTGAACGCCACTTTGGTGGAGAACATCACCTTTGAGATGCCAATGATTAAATCCAGGTGAGGCCTGACACACTATGAAAGGTGAAAGAATAAAGATTTAGTCATCACATCTGCTCCTGGTAAAACCTCACTGAGCTGAATGTTGTACGCCAATGTGACTTATCAACTTTCTTTCCCTTCTTTTTTTATGTATTTAGAAGCATTTTCTGTCTTTATTGATGAATCAATAGCGGGAAGAGGAAAAATGAGAAAACCTATTAAGTTAAATTGATTTAATGAGATAGCTTAAAAGGTCTTCAAATCCTCACTTTCGCCATAAAAACAGCTGACTCGTTACAACCTCTGGTAAGAATTTATTGCGGGAGTTTCGCTGTCCAATGAATAACTTTTACAACGTGTCCCCGATAAGTGGAGGCATTCCCCACATCCAGTGTCAGCGAGGAGGTTTGAGGAGCTCCGCGCAGCGTTTCTCTTCACTTTGAGTTTGCACAAATCACGAGAGACCCACAGCAGCTAATGTGTGATTCATTAATAAGTGAAGTTCATTTAGTTTGCTCGGCCCGGTGCTTTCTATTTGTCACCTGTGTCCATAAAAAGCATGTTTAATTACTCTGAGCTATTTATTCTTCTCTATTTACTGTAGAGGTGACTTGTCAGGCCAAGACAGAGTAAACAGACTTTCTTGTTCCCCGTGGACCCTTCACAACCTGATGTGTCGGGCTCTGATTAAGTTAAAGAGGCAGCTGTTGGCTGGATGGTAAACCCCTCGGAGCCAGGTTGTGTTTTTTTATAAAGGTGTGCAGTTCTACTGGTGCTTGGTGTCGGCACTTCGTCAACAACAGCCTCCGTCATTATGGCCACACGCTGAGACACACTCAGCAAACGGTTCGTCTGAAAGGTCGCCTCATGTCGTCATGCCAGGATCTATGCAGGTCTAATAGACTGCTTCTTCCATTTCTTTTTGAAATATTAATGGCCTGCTGTGCCTTGTTGCTGTGGAGATAAAAAATAATCTTAGAAATAGGGCCCTTGTTGTCTTTGCCTCCATTATCCTGATGTGCTGTTTATCTACCAAATTCCGGGTGGCGTTGTCTTTCCTCTTGGCTGCAGCAGGTGTTTCCAGAACCCACTGGATTTTTTTAACCCAAAGCTTTTAGTTATGATATATAAGCTGAATTTAAACTGCCATAGACTGATGGTTTCACCTCACATGTTTACATCATTTATCATATCAATGGACAGGCCTAAAATCGACAAATTCTGACGTCAGTATCTGCTTAAACACTGTAATATTGAACTGTAGTTTTGAATTTCCACTCATTCAATAAACATATAGACCACAAAGTTTGTTGCTTGCATTAGAAGCATGGTATATAAATGACAGTTTGTAGAAAAATAAGACGAATGTGGTAGATGAGAATCAGAAATTTGAAAGATGTTTCATTAATTGCTCTCCTTTTTCATGCTGTCTGTGTTTCAGCAGAGAGCCAGACTGGCTCCCTGGGCAAATCCTGTTTTATGCTTTCAGTTTGGATTTATCCAGAGGCTTTCACAAATTGCATTATTCATGCATAACAGCGAGGCATATGAGAGGTCATTTGAATAAATGTGTTATCTCAGTTATCAGCTGGCAAAGAAACCACGTGCAGTGCTTCTGACTTCATCTGTATGATGCTCTCTTTCTGCCTGTCAGATACAAAACCGTCCTTGAGGCCTGTTCCCTTCAGCCTGACATCGACATCCTTCCACAGGGGGACCAGACAGAAATCGGGGAGCGGGTCAGTATCACAGCAACATTTTTTTCCCCCTATTTATCCTCCCTCTCTTTTGGGCTGCTCACACACGGTAGTCCACCATCATTCGGGGTCATTTGTCATCATTACAGTGGAGAAAGGATTTGATTTCCCCGCACGGTCGCTTTGTTCTGCAAAGCACTGTCATGTTGGATGTCTTCAAGCCCCACTAATGGAAGAGACAAACCCTGACCCACTTCATTTCTCAAGTGCGGGGGTGTTTGTCGATACCGTTGTGCTGATCATCCTTCTTCGTTTGTGGTTTACACACTTTCCTGTGTCCCGGTGCAGGGCATCATCCTATCAGGAGGCCAGAAACAGCGAATCAGTGTGGCCCGAGCATTGTATCAGCAGACCAACGTGGTCTTTCTGGTGAGTCTGAGCAGGTGGATTTCAGAACTATGTATCAAATTCCAAATATTTAAACATTCGTTTGTCAGGCCGAAACTTTTTACGTGTCAGAAATCACTGCAGGCTTCCAACACACGTGATCCCGTTGATGATTCCCTAGAATGACAAAAGCTTCTTAAACTTTTTTGTTTCAACACCCTGTAAACTCAGTCAGAATGAATTGCCCGTCACCTTAATCAATAATGATGATGACTTTCATTTTCTGTTGAAAACTTGTAATTTAAATGATAAATATTAATCTCAGACAGAGAAAATTACAAATGGAAAAACCTACACAAACCCTTTCATTTTGGGTGCCATAATTAGACCAAAAAAGATATAACATAATTTGTAACAATACTACAGGTCTTGAGGTTCTGAGCAGCAGTAAACTCTTATGATACATAATGCTTTGATTTCTTATTTTTATATATTCTCCCCTGGCGAGAACTATTGAAGATACGGATAGTTCAGGCGGTCTTTAAAAGTGAGTAGAGCTTGATAGCTTTTATGTAAGTCATGATAGTGATAGAAATAGGTATAGAAAAGGGATTTAAGTCCACAGCACAGACAAACAGAACTCCATCAGTGAAGCAAGTGATCCGGAGTAATGAAGGAGCATTTTTCTCAGGTCAAAGCTGAGATGCAACTGAAATCGAAACGTGTGCAACATATAAAAATGTTCAGGGACAAAAAGCATCAACAGATGACAGGCTGGTACAAAACTGGGGCGGTTTTTCTAAAGCAGTGAAATGAAGAGTGGTGAGGAATGTGTCAAATAAATATTTATGTGGTGGGAATTTTAAGGCTTATTCACAAGAAATCTGCAGTGAGCGGGGTTTCAGGAGGACAGCAGCCTGAGGAACAGATCCAACAACAAAACAAAATGGTTCAAAGAAAAATGAGCACCAATCTGTACCGAGGCAAACATCACTCCCCAAAAAATAATAGTAGTGAAGGATTTCATCAATTGGTTCTGGAGTACTTCGTGTGAGTGAAAGCCTTTTTTTGTGGTTTCCCATTACTCCTACTATTCCCATTTCTGTGCATTTTTGTTGGATTTCAGGTACGTTGGGGTGAAGAGGATGTTTTTCTCCAACATCTTACTTTTTGAATATGCACAGACCCAAACCTGTTCTCTGTTTTTGTGTCCTTTATTTTCAATGGTCTAATTATCTGTTTTCAGGATGACCCCTTCTCAGCTTTAGACATCCACCTGAGTGACCACCTGATGCAGGACGGCATCCTGAAGATGCTCAGAGAGGAGAAGCGGACGGTGGTGCTGGTCACTCACAAACTCCAGTATCTGCCGCATGCAGACTGGGTAAGACCCAAACCAGCCCGTTTGCGTCTGTTTTTCAGTCGCTTTTCCAGTCGTCTGTCCAGCGGTCAGTCTGTGACGCCGCTTTATGAGCGCGCGCCGCATTTCCCTCCTCTGCTTCTGTGTCATCAGATTATTGCCATGAAAGACGGCACCATCCAGACCGAAGGGACCCTGAAGAACATCCAGAACTCTGAGCCTGAACTCTTCGAGCAGTGGAAGACCCTGATGCACAGACAGGACCAGGAGTTTGAGACGGTGATTCAGAGTGTCTTAGAGATGCATTCAAATGTTTGCTTTGACTGTTAGATTGCATGCGTGTTTGCTCAAAAGAATTGAATGTTTCCATTCTAGAAAAAAACAACAACTCTCACTGACCGTTCCTTCATTCCTCTTCCAGGAGAGGGTGGAAGCGTGCATGACTGATCTGGAGAGGAAGAACCTGCGGAGGGCCATGTACTCCAGAGAGGCTGCGAGGACTGAGGAGGATGAGGATGGTGAGAGCCCACACAACCCACCCAGCTGGACTGAGCGTGCGCATGGCCACAGAGCCTCCCTCTCTGATTCAGCGTGGGCGACACACACTCAGCACGCGACGTCCCTTCGCCCGCTGCGACGCGGAGAGGCAGCATCTGTCACATCACAGTTAAAAGCTCACCAAGCTTCTTCTGAGCGTTTACTTTGTCTTTAATGACTGCGGTGATGTGAAAGAGTGCAGATAGTATTAACTTTATTTAATCTATTTTTACAAACGCCGAAACCCTCCTTCCAGCAGCCTCCTGCTGGGCTTTACCACCTAATCCGACCCTGTTCTGTGTGTGTTTTGAACTGATGTCAGTGGGAGGTGCTTTGGCTGTTCTCTTTATCTGTGCTCTGTGTTGTCTCCCGTGTGCTGGTGGCACCCCGGGGTGGACTTGTGAGATGGCTCCAGCACCAGGTGCTGCCGTCGAGTACGATCCTTCAGGTGTGGTCAGACCGCATGGCGTGAAACGGAAAAAGAAAGAGCACAAAAAGCCTGTGTGTGTGTGTGTGAGTGTGTGTGTGTGTGGCATTGTGACGCTGCCGGCAACATGCACTAAACCTCATATTTCATTTAGTCGCTTGTTTGAACTTAATGCTTCTCCAAGCATCTCTCGCTCGTGTTCCTTTTAATGCAAGCATGACTGCAGGTTATGAGCCCAGTTGGCTTTTGAGCCCCGCCGGTCATCAACTCTTTTTTCTCCTCCTTCTGTATCCTCCTGCTTTTTCTCGGCCTCCAGCATGTCTGAGCCCGACAGACGCCCACATGCAGCCTCACGCTCCAAAGCTTGTCGCATGATGCAATGTGTTATATTTACAGTACGTTGGGGGGGGTGGGGGCTTGGGAACACACATGAGCTCCCCATCCCTCAATGGAGTTTAAAAGCTAATGTAGTCTGTAGCCTGTAGCCTGCTTCCCTTGCTTGTATTTGCTTGTTGGACTGAGGAGGAGGAAGATTTCTTAGAAACTTGACCAAACAGAATCAGAAGAACCGAAATCGACACAAGCCAGACCAAAGGCACAAATATCTGAAATGTCAGAGAGGATTTAGGCCTAGACCTGGGTTGGAAACAGAAACCAACCGAGTTGCATAAGCTCAGGGAAGAAGATGTAAGAGGTTAAAAGTGAGTCTCTCCATTGCTGAAGGGTTTTTCTCTCCTCTGTTTCCATCCCAGAGGAATCGGAGGAAAGCGAGGACGACGACAACCTGTCGCAGGTGATGCGCCAGCGAGCCACCATCCCCTGGCACTCCTGCGGGACCTACCTGTCCTCTGCTGGCTTCCTCCTCCTCTCCCTGCTCCTGCTGTCTCAGCTCCTCAAGCACACGCTGATGGTCGCCATCGACTACTGGCTGGCGCACTGGACGTCGCGCGTCATCGCGGCCAAGGTGGACGCCACCAGTCACAACTGCACTATTGTAAAGGTGAGAGGCTGAGATAATAATAATTTCTGGTCCAAAAAAGGCGTTTCTTCTTTGTCTTTGCCTTTAATCAATGGTTTATCAATAGCTTAGTTGTTTCAGCCAAATACAAATGAATCACTGACTTGTGAGGAATAATGTTTGAGTCTCAGTGAGAGCTTCATGCACAAAGTCATCACACCTTTTTTCACACTTCACACGCAAGAACAGCAAGAATTCTTTTACATGTTAGCTGCACATCTATTTCAGCAGAAAGAGTAATAGTTAGAAATATGAGCCTTTCTGTGTAAAACCCAGAATATTTAACACAAAAAGAACAGCTCCTACTTGGATTTCTTGCAGCCTTTCAGTGTCTGAAACAATTAGTCACAGTTAGTTATAAACTTTTTTGGTCTTTTGAATTTTTCTCTCAAAGTCAGCGAGGCAGAACTGGCCTGAAGCCTAACAAAAGCAGGCTAATTCCAGATGGAGTTTTCCCCGCCACCCTGAAGCAGCTCACCTGCGCAAAGCAGCAGGTGTGCATTTAAGATTTAGAAGCATTTTATGAATAGATGTGTGGACAGGAAAACAAAAGAGAGCTCAGGCAAATGGTAAAAGCCTAAACACCCAGCTGAACAGCAGTACTTAAACTCACAGTGTGCTAAATATGAGTGAAACATCCCAACTTTAAGTTGCCGTGCCCACGATTCGCTGCCCACACAGATATAAATCTTGAACATTTATTCCCCTGTAAACGTGACCCACTCAGAGCCTTCAACCTAAATAAGGTTTCAAAATACACACATGGGAATTGAATGCACGTTCAGAGAAAGTGCTGAGTAACATTTGCGTTGAGATCCGGCACAAATGTGTTGCGGAAGATCAAGCACGGTCATTTAAAGGCAGGTTACACCAGCTGTTGGCTGTTGTGTGCCTCAGGGCTGTGAAGCCACACATTCATCAATGGTTATTTATGTGTGTGTCTTTGCCTTGTGCGTGCGCGTTTGTTCTGCAAAGTGAAATGCGAGGTCACATTTCGTGCGGTCATGTGAATGCCACGCCGTCAGCTGGAGTAGAGGGCAGCGGTCTGAAAGGCACTGCACAACACAAGTGCAGCGGTCACCTTCTATAGACACACACACACAGCACAAGTGTTCATAGATTGCGGCTCGTTTTACTTGGCATGAGCTTCAGAGTCTTTCCATCAGATTTATCTCCTCTGCATTGTGGATCAGCCCATGTGGGGGCGCTCAGAAGTCCTGTGTGGTCGTCAGACACTCATTAAAATGTAGTCACACGGCTGTTAAGAGCCACCTGAGGGTCTTTTCTAACTGAGATTTTGGTTTATTACTTTGGCAAGTCCTTTAAAATGTAGCTTTCACTGAAACTGAATGTACTCACAAAGAGGAAATCCTGTCATTTCACATTTTCCTTCCAGAAGGTCACTGTGAAATCTCTTTCCTTTCAAACTTTTTCTTGAGTAAGAGTCCTTTTGTACGCCATCAAAACAAATAGTCATGATCGTGGTTTTGATGTAGTCAATTTGTAAAATGTTCTTAATCAATAAATCGTTGATTAAAAAACAAAGACAAAGAGACTGGCTCTTACATGTATTTTGTGATGTTGCTTATTTGACTGCCTGATGTCTTAAGTGTTGTGTGATTGAAAAATGTCTGGCATGGTGAGCTCAGAACATAATAGATTACCGGCTGAACACATAGGGGAAAGCTTGAAAAGGGAAAATGGACAACAGCAGAACATCATTCTCACTGCCTTTGTGTGTTTGTTCTAAAGTTGCCAGCTCAGCTTTGAGAGCCTCCGAGGCTTTAAACAAGTACGACAGCTAATCTTTAACCAGCCTCAAAGTTTAATCATGCTTATAATTACAGTAGAAGCAAGCTAAGTGGTACATCCAGAAATACACACACACACACACACACACACAAAGAGTTTACGGCCTTGTCCTTAAAAAACTTGTCTCTCTATGTGCTGTAGGACTGTGGATTCAGTCACTCGTGGTATCTCTCTGTGTTCAGCGTCCTGTGCTGCCTGGGCATCATCCTCTGCCTCGCCACCTCTGTGGCTGTGGAGTGGACAGGCCACAAAGTGGCCAAAGAACTCCACCACGACCTGCTCAACAAGATCATACTGGCTCCCATGAGGTACTGCACTCGGTTTGGGGCCGGGCGTCAGGGCTAGCCTCGTGACAGGGTGCAAAACGGGACGCGAGGAGGAGGCGAGCGGGCTGATGTTCTCCGTGTGAGAGCGCCTAAATAGATCATTTACATGAGGGGCACAGTTAAAAGCAGCATGTTTTAGGCTCATTACTCACGGCACCATCTGCTTTGCTCACACTAAGCAGAACACATTTGCACGTACTGTGCCTGTGCGCTCACCAATGCAAAGGAAATGAACTGATGCATCTCAGAGGGAACAATTCCACCTCAAACAGCTGCTCGCAAAGAGTTTGCGTGCAGAGTTTATCAAATGTTGTTAGCTTTAGCTATTTATAGTCATTTTTTTTAAAGCACAGAGACTAAAGGAAGAGAAGAGGAAGATTTATTCTTAAACTGAAGCGAATACATCTGATTTATCTGGGAAATGCTTGTCCTGAAACCAAAGAACGAACCAAAGAATAAACCTTAAATGACTTAAAGTAGAATGCAACTGACTGATTGATTTCACTAACGAAGGGTTTCTCTCAAACTTCCCCCTCGTGGCTCCAGGCTGTTTGAGACGACGCCTCTGGGCAGCATCCTGAACAGGTTTTCCACAGACACGAACACCATCGACCAGCACATCCCCACCACCCTGGAGTGCCTCTCCCGCTCCACGCTGCTCTGCGTGTCCGCCCTGGGCGTCATCTCCTACGTGACCCCCGTCTTCCTCATCGCCCTCCTGCCGCTGGCTGTCGCATGCTACTTCATCCAGAAGTACTTCCGAATGGCCTCGAGGTAAGTCGGGCAGGGCAGAGATGGGGTTTTTTCTTTTTTTTTTTTTTTACAGTTTCTCTTATGGTTGTGTTGTTTCCATTTGATTATGAACTGGACCCAACTTTATGAGGCCTCTTGGTTGAAACTGAACCATTCAAATTGACTGGTAGAAGTAAATATTTCCACCTCTTCTTGTTGTGCGATGCTTTTATCAAACGTTTTATTGTTGTCTGGTGTTAGTCCGTTTTTCCAATCTTCCGGCTCAATTGCTATTTTTCTGCTCCTTGTGTTTGCCGGGCAGGGACCTGCAGCAGCTGGAGGACAGCACCCAGCTCCCTTTGCTTTCACACTTCTCTGAGACAGTGGAAGGCCTCATCACCATAAGAGCCCTCAGGTAGTCACATTTCTGGACTTTGCTCCCTCCGTAAGGGGACGTTGCACCGTGATGCTGTCAAGTAATATTTTTACGAAACAAATACATTTCATCTGAAACTGTCACATGATGTTCCGGAGCAAGGTGTCCAACAAAATTTTGATGTATTGGAGTTGTGCAGCCTAAGCTTTTAACAGGCTGGCCCAGCCTAACAAAAACACAATTGCTCCCCATAGAGGGAAGTAGACGGACTGGGATTTTTGCTGAAAAAAATTATTCTTCTCTGTCCGCCTCATTAAACACACTCTTCCGCCTTAGCCTGTTCATTTTAATTCATTTGAACAAAGGTAAATATTGCTGAAATGCACTGCCAAATGCAAAAATGAAACACTTCTGCTCACAGTTTGAGCTTGGCAATGTGGAAGTGTCCCCCTGTAGCTTTTAAACAGTCACCCTCCAGGAAATATTTGATTTTCATATTATTTAAAACGCATGTTTTCTCTTTTTGTACAATTTCAATAACTGGATTTTAGTTTTAGAGGCGGACTTGAGGAATAATTAACCTCCTTTTGTCATTGACACTGAGCCAGTTGGGATGGAAAACCTGCTGCCATGTGGGCAGCCAACACACATAATGAGTGAATAAAACTCCTCTCCTTTGGCAGGTACGAACCCAGGTTCAGGCAGAGGCTGCTCCAGTTCACCGATGCCAACAACATCGCCTCGCTGTTCCTCACCGCCGCCAACCGTTGGCTGGAAGTCCGCATGGTAATGACCCATCTGCCGGCGGGATCTTTAACATTCAGCTCAGTTTCGTGTCTGACACATTATCTGGCTCCCATTCACGTCAATGTTGTCGGGCAACTGCCCCCCCTGTTGGGTTACTGAAATATTGAATATCAGATGCTCAGATCGACATGATCTGAAGTCTTCGTGTCATGTTTTACGTATCGGTTTTTGGTTGCTTATCAGCAAGGACGCAACCTTGAGATTTTAACTGTGTGTTAAAGGAAGCAAAGGAAACACAGGTTTATAGCTGTCATGTGTTGTAGACCTGTCCACGATTCTCCTCATATGCCCTTTTTAACAGTTTGGTGAAGTGTTTGTTTCTTTTTGTCTCTGCAGGAGTACATCGGAGCCTGTGTGGTGCTGGTGGCAGCTGTGGCCTCCATCACCAACTCTCTCTACAACCAGCTGTCCCCCGGCCTGGTGGGGCTCGGACTTACATACGCTCTCATGGTGAGCCCGCCGTGCGCCTGCCCATCAAAGTGTTTACGTTTCATTGCCCCCCAGACACACACAACACATATCCAAATCCAGAATAACTGAAGGACACAAAACCAGAGGTGGCTGTTTCCTGAATTTCCAACGCAGAAATGACAGTAAACAGGAACTGTTTAGGTTCATTTTAAACTTTGATGACCATGTCAGCTTCCTTTATGAGGAAAAAACATGAAGTTTGCCTACCAACGATATCTCAGAGGGTCATCAGAGTCTGGAATAGTTTTACTTTACGGTAAAAAGGCCACCTAAAGAAAACTCATGTGAGGTTTCCAAATAAGAATCAAAAGTAACCTGAAACATTTTTTCAAAGGTGGAGTGATGACATTCTAGCTGACAACTCGGCAGCGATCAGCAAAAGTACATTTAGAGAGAAAAGGTAGCATAATTTCAGCAGAAGAATGCCTCCCCTGCTCAGCTGTGGATTTATGATGTCTTGGGGGTACTTTGGGGCCAGCTGCAATAGGAGGATGTAAAACTGTCTGAGCAAACATCACACCATCTGTTTAAAAAGAGATAAAGATGAAATTAGGCTGACCTATATAACAGCATAATGGCCCCACCTAAAAGTCCAATAAAATGTGCAAGCTGGGATACTCACAGTCCCTCAAACATATCAGACAAAGGTCTGCCTGGTACTCTTAATTCAAGACACTGACAAAAAAAATAAAAAAATTAAAATAATCAGTTGCATGCTTCAGGGCGTGTTGCTGATATCCCATCATGGAACGCTTTTTCTAACCTCATTCTAAACAAAAAAGCTATCAACTTTAATGATTATCATTGCAAATGCATTCATTCATATTATATGGTAACACACCCACAACACAAAGTATTTTGGCTTTAATTTTTTTTGTATGTTGTATATCTAAACTGTCTTACTTATGTTTCATTTTTTTCTTTAGTAAATAAAAAATTTAAAAGATTAAAAATAGTTCATTCTCATAAATCATCTCATTGGAGAGAGAAATTTTGACTTTGTGGAGACGCTCTGCATGTTTTGGCCGGATGCTTACTGTGTGTTCAGACTAAAACATACAAGATAATGAGTCTCAAACACTCTCCTGTACAGTCGTGCAAACAGTGTCCAGCCGACTGAACGCTGACATTTACCCGACCCCACTCTCCCCCCTTCTCTCCTGTATCAGGTGTCCAACTACATGAACTGGATGGTGCGTAATTTGGCAGACATGGAAGTGCAGCTTGGCTCAGTCAAGAGGATTAATGGCCTGCTCAAAACTGAACCGGAGAATTACGAGGGACTCCTCAGTGAGTGCAACAACGCAGTCCAACTTCCCCGTCTTATTTCATCCAATGTCTACCTCAGTTTTAGTGACGTTCAAACTCAGACAAACTTTTAGCTGCAACCGCTTTATGTTCAGCTCCTGATCGTAATTTATTTGAATGCATATATGTTCTTCAGGCCAGACGGTGTAATAATTCACAGCAGTATATGATTGTGAAGCCATCTTGTAAATGAAGGGTAGTCAATGATCTTGTGCCCCCCAGCAAAAGAGTGGAGATGCATGTTTTCTTGATCGGTGAGGGCTTAAAACAAAATGACGTAGACGTTTTCATGTGTCTCAGCTGTGTCTCAGGTGCCGGAGGGATGGCCCCGGCACGGAGAAATCAAGATCCAGAACCTGAGCGTGCGCTACGACGCCACTCTGAAGCCCGTTCTCAAAAATGTCAACGCACACGTGAGCCCCAGTCAGAAGGTAACCCGAACGCTCCCGGAAAACCAGAAAATACCAAAACGCACCACTGAGAACAGTTGTTTGTTTTTCCAGGTGGGGATCTGTGGTAGGACGGGCAGCGGGAAATCCTCTTTTTCCTTGGCTTTCTTCCGTATGGTTGACATGTTCGAGGGTAAAGCATCCACGCCGCTTTACTTCCTCATCTTATGCAGAAAACAGGATTCAACAGCAATTCTAATTCTATCTAAAGATTTCTCCAAATAAAGGAAGAACATTTGTGTTCAGGGTAGAAGAAATATAACCGGGAGTCATCTAACTCTGTTCTCCTTCCACAGGGAGGATTGTGATTGACAACATTGACATCTCCAAGCTGCCTCTGCAGACCCTCAGGTCTCGGCTGTCCATCATCCTCCAGGACCCCATCCTGTTCAGTGGCACCATCCGGTACGATGAACTTCTTTACTTCTTTAACGAAGACTTATGAAGATGGGGACAATAGTGGAAGTCAGGAGGGATGAGCTGGACCTTTCCAGTTGGCACGCTGTGCCACACTTCAATGGCACTTCTCTAAAACATGAGGAGGGCTGGTTGTAGATAAGAGACCCTTCCTCTGAGAACTCCAGTGCGGCGGTCTATTTTCAGACCTCTGCCACTGACCATAAAAGCCTCGTGCTGGAGAACCGATGAGTTCTGTTTTTTTTTTTTCTATTTCAGTCAATCGGATTGCAAACCCCACATTGTAAAGATAGCTTTTTTCTCCGGGTGGTTTCTCAGTCCAGTAATGATAGCCATGCAGGGGTTTATTGATGCTGAATACTGAGAATAAATGTACAAAAAAAGTTACAAGTCTCTAATTTCATATCAAATCTCCATGTCAATGTGTCACCTTTACAGAGCAATCTGAACACGTCTGTCTTTTGGACTATTGGTCAGACATCTGCTGAAAGTTTTCAGTTTTTTTTAAAGCTCAACCCTCAAATAACCAGAAGGCTAAATGAACTCTACCATCACCCTGAATGTTGCTTGTGTGCGGGTGCAGGTTCAACTTGGACCCGGAAATGAAGGCGACGGATGAGATGCTGTGGGAGGCTCTGGACATCGCCCAGCTGAAGCCCGTGGTCAAAACCCTGCCCGGAGGCCTGGGTGAGTGCGCCCATGCCCGAACGCGTGTTCATATTCATGCCAGAAGAAGCACCTTACAAAAAGCGATTCCCCCTCCGAGTGGACGCGCTGGCCGTGGTCATCAAGTGTCTCAGCTCCAGCATCAGAGTCCGGCATCGGGTTACAGCGGCATCAATTTTTAACCTCCTTTGGGTTCTGATGCAGCAGGTCTGACAGCTGCTGCAGACTCAGAGTCAGATCAGATATTAGCCGTCAGTCCGCTGGCACTGGAGCTCTGGCTCATTCACTATTCATCCCTCAGATTTTTTGTCCTGGGTAATCTACCATGGGACCGTACAGGAGCTAGAAGCTGTTCTTGAACTGCTTCTAATCTTGGCCTGATGTCTTTCTGACACAGAAACCTGCTTTTGTGTGAATGGAAGTGTGTGTGTGAGTGTGCTTGTGTGTGTGAGTGTGTGTGCTTGTGTGTGTGTGTTGGGGCGTCACCTTTTGAGCTTCTCGTGGATTCAAACTGAGTTCAGTGACGCCAGATATCCAATAAGCTATTGATCCGGGAGTGAACGGTCGATTAAGTTCTCCTTTTAATTATTTAAAATGAAAGAGTTGTGCTGATGTTGGAGATGAAGCACTTTAACGTGTGATGTGGGGAATGAGTTAAACTCTGGTACTGCAGTGAAAGTGGAAATATGAGGTGAACAAAGCGAGACCTCATTAGAAACGTATCAAATCAAATTGCAAGAATTTTAAAGGTTCAGTCAGCCGGGCTCTTAAAATGTTTTATTTGAATGATCGTTCTGGTTGAAGATAAATCTATTAGAGAGCAAAACCCTGATTAATAAAGCCACATGGAAATTATTCATCAAGTCAGAGGTAATTTTACACAGAGGGGATCAGATTAACAATTTCACTTTAATTATTTAGCCAGCTCCGGGCTTTAAAACGTCTATCAATATGCTCAGGAGGAGTTTTTTCAGAAATATGCATCAACTAATGGCTTAAATTCTTTTTATAAACATGTGTTGTTTTAAAATAACAGAATTGATTTGAAATGAGCCATCTTAATCCCATATGAAAGACACGCCAGTGAATATAAACTGACACTGCAGCATTGACAGTTGTAACGAAGTCAGGAGGTGTTTTAATGTGACTTGATTAATTTTACTAAAGGTCCACAAATTTCAGTTTCCCCTTGTTACGCTTATATTTGTGTGCTTTAAAATCCCAGTCCCAGTCTGTTTTTAAAGGCGGTTTTTACCATTTTGATGTCATCATCTTCATAGCGAATAGAAAAGGCGTACGTCGGCATAATCATCGGACGTGTCTTTTTTCCCGTTACATCAAGTGTAATAAAGTTTGGTGTTGCTCTCAGATGCCATCGTGACGGAGGGTGGAGAAAACTTCAGCCAGGGCCAGCGACAGCTTTTCTGTTTGGCCAGGGCCTTCGTGAGGAAGAGCAGCATCCTCATCATGGATGAGGCCACAGCCTCCATCGACATGGCGACGGTCAGTGTGCGACTCTCAGTGGAGCATCTTTAAGTTTGAAGTCAAAAAGGGGGAGGGGAGGAGATCATGTGAAGAATATATATACACAAAAATTATGTTCTGTGGCTCAATTTGAATTTGAATCCAAGCTTTTGATGACAGAAAGTATGATTTACAAGGATTTCGTTAAACAACAAGGATTACTTTGGGTGTTGATGAGATAAATGGTTAAGATTAGGGAAAGCTGGCTCCACAGAAAGTAAACAGAGCATAAAGGAAAACATGGAGCATGAGTGTGAGAGAAAATCTGAGTTGAACTCTGATTAGAGGAGCTGCTTTTTAATTGGGCTCAGACACAAAGAGCCGGCTGGGCCTTCAGTGAAGCAAACACAGATCTGCTTCTGTTCAGGAGCAGATCAAAAAGGCTTAAAGATAACTTGAAAATGTGATATTGTTAATTGACACGGGGCATGTGAGAAGTAACCAGATTGAAAGGGTTCTTTTATCTACGTGTGCGTGGATTCAAAGCGTCCCGTTTGAGCCCTGGTGTCCCTCTTCTTCCCACAGGAGAGCATCCTGCAGAAAGTGGTGATGACCGCTTTTGCTGACCGGACAGTTGTAACCATAGCAGTGAGTAGCCCCCCACCCCACCCCCACCCACTGCACCACTTCCTTAAGTCGATACTTACAGAGATGTGTGGAGCTCAGCCTTTTTCCTCTGGGAATGATGACCCTCATCCTGAACTGCTGATGCATTTGCTGATGCGGAACAAAAAAAAAGCCTAATTGCCCCCACTGTTATTTAGACTACATATTTTACATGACGGTGGCACCGTCGCCTCACTGCAAGAGGGTTCTGGGTTCGATTCCCTGGGGGAACCAGGACCTTTCTGTGTGGAGTCTGCATGTTCTCCCTGTGTCTGCGTGGGTTCTCTCCGGGTTCTCCGGCTTCCTCCCACCATCCAAAAACCTGCATGTTAGGTTGATTGGACATTCCAAATTCCCCTTAGGAGTGTGAGTGTGCGTGGTAGTTGGCCCTTGTGTGTCTCTGTGTGGCTGAGCGAAAGACTGACCGACATGTGACGCAGCACCTCTGCTCTGGAGGGGGGGGGGCAGTGTGTCAGAGCTGGTGCCGTAACCCGTTTCCCTCCCCTCCACCCCGCAGCATCGCGTCCACACCATCCTGAACGCCGACCTGGTGATTGTGATGAAGCGGGGCATCATCCTGGAGCACGACACGCCCCAGGCCCTCCTGGACAAGGAGGACAGCGTCTTCGCCTCCTTCGTGCGGGCCGACAAGTAGCACAAGAGGGCAGCAAGGAAGCGTCAGAGGAAGACATTCCAAGTGCAATTGTACCACGGAATATATGTGTGTCTATATTCCTTATATTTTCTAAGCGTGTTGTATTATATTTGTACATACAAATATATGAAATCCTTTGTTAATAAAATATAAATTATAATCACAGTCGCTGTGTGGGACGATGGTTTGTTTGTGTGAGTCCATCACATAAGGCTGCGCCTTTACATGGATGAAAGAAGAAGGGACCAAGGAGATGTAACATTTTACAGGTTGGTTGTTAATAAAGACTATATCTGGTTTCTGTGGCTGAATCTCTGTGTTAATGGGCAGTCCCTGAGCTTTATATCTTAACTTCCTTATATATTCAGAATGTGAGCTGTCTGTAGCTTTAGGGGGATACAGTTGACTTCTTTTCCTGAGTAGCTGGAGAGGCCACTTCAGCATCCACATCAAACCCTTTCGCCTTTGCAACTCAGCTGTGTGAGATGAGGGAATGGAGAGGCTTTGTGTGTGTCTCTGTGCTTTCCAGCCATCGGCCGCGCTCATCTGTGAGGGATGGGAGGGGAAGTGACACCCTATAGCCGCGCTACGTGGGGACCGTTCCGGATGAGCACGTGAGCTGCCGCGCGATGGAGGTTCCCCCTTTACCAACATAATAGCGCGATATTTGTGTTCGAAATCTCAGGAAGCGGCCAGAGCGGATGGTGGGGGAGGGACCACCTCCCCACCTCAGGTCTCCATCTCACGTTACTGAGGTATAATGTACTGGCGAAGTCAGCATAGAACCCACTGCAAAACATGACCCTATTTTCGTCATTCACGCGTCTTCAAACTCCCCTCCTAACCCCGTTACGCTCGCGTGCCATCGTTTTAGCCGTCACCCAATCCACTTTACGCGCGAGGTGGAGGCGAGTGCGCGCAGAGGGAACTGGGCGGTGCGGCACGGCCATGCCCGTTGCTTTGGTGGTGTGAGTGACAGCGACAGCCGAGGAGCTGGAAGAAGAAGAAGAAAAAGAAGAAGAAGAGGAGTTTCCTCATGGGACTTCCCAGTCCTGAAAAGCCTGAACCGGAACGTGAGGAGCACGCATACCTCCAAAACGAGGAGGACAAGACTCTCCCCCCTGCGTCCGACAGCCGCCGAGGACCGGACACCGGCCAAGGTCCAGTGTTGAGAAGAAGCGCGAGGAGAGGGAAAGAAGCCATCCTTCAGCCGGACGCACCATTGACCTGAAGGCCAGGAGCGCATAGTATGGGAGCGCAATGTTGTCCAGGAAAGGACTCATCCCCGAAGATTACCTGCTGACACGTCTGGCCGAGGACGTGTTCCAGCCCAAGTTCAAGGGAACTGGGAAACCAGGCAAGGCTCGGTTCGTGACCAAGAACGGCGCCTGCAACGTTGCGCACACCAACATCAGAGAGCAGGGCCGCTTCTTGCAGGACGTGTTTACGACTCTGGTGGATTTGAAATGGCTCCACACGCTCATCATTTTCACCATGTCGTTCCTCTGCAGCTGGCTCCTGTTCGGGATGGTGTGGTGGCTGGTAGCTTTTGCGCACGGGGACCTGGAGCAGAGAGGAGACGACTTTGTCCCGTGCGTAACGAGCATTCACTCCTTCTCCTCGGCTTTCCTGTTCTCCATAGAGGTCCAGGTGACCATCGGCTTCGGGGGTCGGATGATCACGGAGGAGTGCGTCTCCGCCATAATCATCCTCATCGTGCAGAACATCGTGGGACTGGTCATCAACGCCATCATGCTGGGGTGCATCTTCATGAAGACGGCGCAGGCCAACCGGCGCGCGGAGACCCTCATTTTCAGCAAACACGCGGTCGTCTCCATCCGAAACAACAAGCTGTGCTTCATGATTCGCCTCGGGGACCTGAGGAAGAGCATGATCATCAGCGCCACCGTGCGGATGCAGGTGGTCAGGCGCACCACCACCGACGAGGGGGAGGTGGTGCCGCTGGACCAGATCGACATCCACCTGGACAACCCCGTGGGCACCAACGGCATCTTCCTGGTGTCCCCCCTCATCATCTGCCACGTGATCGACAAGGCCAGCCCCCTGTACGAGCTGTCCCCGGCCGACCTGCAGCACCAGGACGTGGAGGTGATCGTGGTGCTGGAGGGCGTGGTGGAGACCACCGGCATCACCACGCAGGCCAGGACCTCCTACGTGTCGGAGGAGATCCTGTGGGGTCAGCGCTTCGTGCCCACGGTGTCCGAGGAGGACGGCATGTACGCGGTGGACTACTCCAAGTTCGGCAACACGGTGAAGGTGCCCACGCCGTGCTGCAGCGCGAGGAAGCTGGACGAGTCGGGTGGCATCGCCCGGTTCAAGCAGAGCGAGGGCGCCACCCTGCGGACGTCCGTGAGAAGGCGCCGGGGCCCCGCAGCGGTCCGGAGGTCCAGGATGGAGAGCAAGTGAGCCGGTGGTCAGCCTTCCTCCGCACTTTGCACGTCGGCAACTGACTGTTTATTAGGACTATATTTATTGGACAAGAATCAGCCATCCACAACAGCCACCTGTGAGCAGGAATGTAGGCGCACAACGTCTTTAACTCAGGGTCAGTGAGGATGGGCTGATGTTATGAGATGATACGGGTGTAAGATGTGAGCCCTGGAATCCAGAGTGAATAGTTTTTTCTTCTACGAGTGGCTGCATGAGTTTGAGAAAATAAAGGAAATGTTAAATGGAAAACGTGTGGTGGGTTTACAGGCCGTAAAGGGCAATCACCTTATTAAAGTTTTATAGCTGAAAGCAGTGATGGAAACTACGTTTTGATTCTGAGAAGTCTAAACTAGAAAAACACATTGGATAGATTAGCAACTGTATTGATGATAGAAGTGGGGTATCAATAATCATCACTTGTAGAAAAAACTAAGTGAGTTGAAGGGAGGTTTTGGTGGAACTCTTAATCTGAAATGTCAATCTGAAAATAGAAATGACCGCTGACTGGTTTTGTTTTAAGGTTTGTGTTGAATATCAAAACTGCACATCAGCCTTTCAGGAAATTCTTCTTACAACGTTTCAGTCACTGTGGTGACGTAAAAAGCCTACGATGTCCCTCTGAAACGGAGCAGCAGTTGAGTATGGGGCAGCATTAAATGGAAATTCAGTTTGAAGTGTCTAAAATGCATTTAGGAGAACCACTTAATATAATAACACTTGAAATTATTTCTAAATGAATCAAGATGAATTTTGATCAACTGAAGTAGATCGTCTTTAAGCGAAGTAATGAGGCCGACATCAGTTTGAAGTGGACAAATTCTCACAGAGACACTGAAGCACTAACACTCCTCTATTAGTGCTGAAACCTACAAATCTGCAGAAACCTTCATTTATATCAACAAGACAACATTTAAGATGATTATGTCCGAAACTCAAGTCTGGAGCAAATTAGAAAAAGAAGAAAAATCAGCTCAAAAAGATTTCAGAACATCTCATCAGTTAAACATAATGTTGTTTGGAGGCTGCCTGTTCAGAGAGAAATGACTTTTTCATTTGAAGACAAAAATTTGATCCATCTTTAAGAAGAGACAGAAACGGGAGGGCATTTATCTCTTTTATTAGATTATAATCCGCAGAGCTTAAAATATTAAATTGCTTTTAACTTAGTTAATAATTAAAATACATAAAAACGAGCCAGAACTGAGGAACCCTGCAAAAAAAAAGAAAAAAAAGAAAGAATTAAAATAAATTAAAAAGGAGAATTATAAATCCAATCCTCCTCCATACAGAGGCTATATCTGACAGAACCCACTTGTGATTCTTTGTACAGTAAAGTCCAAGCAGACTGTGCATTTTCTCTACATGTGAGACAATATCACTTATTTCCAAACTAATTTTTCTCTGATAATCTTTTTTCAAAGTAAATTTAAAGGCGGGGGTTGGGGGGGGGTCTCTCGTTTCGCACTGGGAGGACTGGTGACTGTTATACAGCAGAGCAGCTTTGCACCGGTCTCCCCTCCCTTCCTGTCCGTCTCCGTCTCTCTGGGCCTGCAGACATGAGCTCATGTCTTTGTCCTTCTGGGCGGCCGGAGTGGGTGGTGCCGGGGCTGTGGTGCTGCACGCCGGCACACAGCTGGGGTTAGCCTTAAATGGGCACCAGTCGGACTCCGGGCGCCGCCTCTCTGATCCGAGCGTGCGGCCGGATTTCTCTCTCTTCTCGGCCTTTTTCCGTGGGACGCGTTGGTTTGTGGGTTCACGGGACGCTATGCCAGTATGCTGCGGTTAGACGGGGTCAGCGTTTGTCCTACGGAGGGGGACTCAGCAGTCTGAGGGGCGAGGGGCGGGGGGATGAACACGAGAGGAACTCCTCTCTGGCAGCAGTGACTTGTTCGGTGGAGTCCTGAGTAGGAAGCGCTTTAATCATCCCCGCGTTAACAGCCCAAACAGTGATTGGCTAGTGTCGCCCCGCCGGGCGGCAGCGTGGTTCCCCATCGGCCTCCCGCTGCCAGGGGAGGGGGGGGGGGGGGGGGGGGGGGGGGGGCGCCGGTTCTCCACACGTTACAACGCTGTACAATAGCAGGTGGAAGCAAAGCAGAGCCCCTCCTGCACTGAGTGGGGGGCAGAGGACGGAGGGAGGCGCACAGACACACCGCACACCCCCGCCAGCAACCCAAAATAAAACTGAAGGAAAACTTCAAACCAAAAAAGAAAAAAGGAAAAATTAAAAACAAAAACAAAAAAATAAAATATACACATACTTTTTTGTTCCTAGTTTAAATTGCAGAGAAGATTGGGAGGGATTTGTCCCTGGGAGGAACGCTCACGCCAATTCCTGCTGGCGTGACAAACCCCTCCCCGCCACCCCTAACCCCCAGAAAACCCTCCCCCTTTCTTCTACCGGCCGGTGGGTTGGTGTCCTGGCGAAATATAAGGGTAGTGGAAGGTCTCTTAAGTCCTGCTCGCACCGAGGAAGGGGGCCGGGCTGCTCCTCCTTCTCGCCTCTATCTCATCTTTCGTCAGCCTCGGGGGCCGCTGTCTCGCTCCCGACTGGCCGCTCATCTTTCTGTCACGTGGTTTTGTGAGGAGGGAGAGGGTGCCGAGGCGGGGGTGGAGGGGGCGGGGGCGGGCAGCGGGGCGGGGGCGCAGAGGATTTCGGACAGGTCGTCCATGATACAGGTCTCCTTGGGGTCCACCAGGTTGAATTCCCTTACGAAAACGATGAAATGTGCGTACAGAGTGTTCAAGTGGCCCTGCAGGTCCAGAGCCACCGTCTCCTTAAAGTGCGCCCAGTAGAGGTGAGCCAGCACGTGGAAAAGGTACCGGCAGATCTTCTTTACCAAGGACTCAAACGAGTTGGGAAACTCTTTCCCTGAAGGAGGCAAACAAAAGAGGCGAGAAAAACAGGTTCAGAAGTAATCACCTTAAAGCAAAAAAGATTAAAGGTTCAGTTTGCTGTTGCTCTTAAGTCTTAACTGACAACACGCCCTATGAGAGTACCTCACAAAACTAGTCTAAGCTTTTGGCCAAATAAACACCTCGTGTTTGATATCCTTAACCTCCCAGTGGGTTTAAACTTCCTCCTATGACAGTTCTATCCAATGAGAGTCTTTTCCATATGAAGCTCAAAGTTGCTTTCGATAAGATCTAAAAATCTAATTATCCTATAAAAAGATTTGAAATTAGCAGAAAGGTGTGGCCCTTTGTTTCCCTGCTTATTGTTCTGGTCGTTACACCTGAAGCAGACATCACATCCCTCTCCCTGGGCCTTCACTCCTCCACCAGCAGGGGGCAGTGCAGCCCCGGCTGCCGCAGAGGCCTGTGGGGGGGGGGGGGGGGCACTCACCGTATTTTGTGGGGAAGATCTCCTCATCTGTGACCAGTTTCTGACAGAGACTCATAACAAAATCGACGTACTGTGGAGCAGTGCATTTCGTCTTCTTCCCCCTCTCGTCATACCAGTAGTATATTCTGCAAAGAGAGCGGCAGACATTGTGAGAACCTCTGCTTTCTGGTATGTGTAATTGCTATTTCATTGAGCGCAGGCCGCTATTGCTGAACCACACACTAGTAAAGATTACACAGAGGAGTGTCTGTGGCAAAAAAAATAAAAAGTATTTCCTGGAGTATATAGATAATCAGCAGGACGATGAGCAACACATGTGACATATGAGACGTCTTTGGAACACCTGCCATGTTTCCTCATTGAGGAAAAACCCCACATGACCTTCTGTTTTTAGGTTTACACGTCTGAACTTGATTTGGTTTTCCCCGGCTGTGCTGCACCCGGGTTTTAATATCCTGGTTTGACCGAGCTCCCTGCTGGAGATGGGGCTCTGAACCCTCCTGGTGGCTCTCGTGGTCAAACCTTCTGTGTGACCAAAGCCGGCCAGGTGAGTTAGAAACCGGACGGCCAAGCTGGCAGGTCAGTCAACAGAAGCCTGAGAGATGGATGGACTGACAGCAGGCGCCCTAAAGCCAGGCAGCATGAATCAGACGGCCAACGAGAGCGGAGCCGGAGCTGGTCGGGGAACGGGCTGATGACAGGGTTCAGGTGTGGAGATGATGCCACACGTCTGGGAGGCAGCAAGGCAGACATTACAAATCCTAAGGAATGTAAAGAGTCCACAAAAGTGACCCCACAGCAGGAGACGTATTGACCACAGGCCCCTTACGACACGCTTACTCACACAGTGGTGGAGGCATGGTCTGAGGCAGAGCTTAAGATCAAACAACAGGGGCTTAAACCAAACTAAGAGCAGGTCGGCCCTCTTTTCTGGATTCTAATAGGACTTCAGATAGATTACAAAGATTAAAGTCCACTATTTGCCATAGTGAGCGCAAATGGACAGAACCTCTACACACCTACTCAGACAAAATGGGTCTGAAGAGTGACTAAATGGTTCCGTTCTCTGTGGAAAATCTGCTCTAAATATAGCGCAGAGCTCTGCCTGTGGGCAGGGGCCCTGACGCTGCTGCAACCGGGCCTCGGCGGGATTTGACCACAGAGGGGCGGGCCGGTGCCAGGTTCTGCTGGGGCCGGAAAGGGCGGGACGCGGCACGGCAGGGTGAGGAAGCAGAGCCACACAGAGAGGGCCTGGTGCAGCAGGCCGGCCGCTCAGACCAGAGTGGGCCTGCGAAAAACAACTGTGTGCAACACTCAGTCTACAGAGCAGGCAAAGAAAAACACGCACCCTTCCTCTGGCAAAGCATGCTTCACTCCTTCCATTTCTCTCAGGGCGTGGGTTATTAAGAGCTTGGCTCAGGGGGACAGTAGTGGAAAAATCCACCGCTGACTGAGAGCCTAACTTGTCAAGCTTCTTACTCAGCCAATCTTGGCAAATGCTCCCATTTGTCAATGGCTGTGTTGTTTGTCATCGGCGTAGTTTTTTTTTCGTGTGCGCGTGGGTGAGCGCGTGCACGTCCAGACGACAAGAAATGTGCTGGGAGCCGTTTAAAGAGTGTTGTAAAGTGCGGATAATCAGGTTTTACCACCATTCAGTATGCATGGAGGGAATGAGGAGTCTTTAGGGACAAGGGCTCATAAATAAAGACAACGCCACACCCCGACAGAGCAAACCAGTTAGATAAATACTTACAGTTAGTCAACTCCCCAGTGCTAACATGCCATGGCTGCACTTCACTGCAAAGCCAAACAACCTTAAGAAAAGATACGTGTGCTTTGCTGCATACAGTGGCTTAACTACCTATTTTAAAAAAGCCTCTGAAATGTGACATTGTTTTCCTTTTCACTTAACCCTGAAACAAAAGGCCGGAGTTCAGAGGTCGACAGCCTGATCAAACCATCGGGGAGTGTGCGATTTAATCAAATTGACATCAGCAGACCCCAGACTGGGCTGGGGGAGGCATTAGTCGGGTCAGACTGCTGTCCACATATGAAGGACAAGCTGGTCTGAAATGTTTAAGAGGACTGAAGCTGAGAAACGCAGCGAGTTAGAAACGTTCAAACACGACGCCGAAAATCAAACTGCTAAAAGCTGCCAGCCAAACAGAAGTTAAACCCCAAGTTCAGCACGGATGGAAAAGGCCTCATCAGCCTGGGGGGGTGTGAGTCGACCCGTGGGCCGACGTGGCTCTGCGGCTGAGCTGTGGAGGGGGGCAGAGCGTCACTTACGTGTTGCAGGCGGTCATGGCCTGACAGGTGTCCCCAGTGCAGAACTCTGAAATGGTGCTGTACTGCAGGTTGATAAGATTAAAGAACGTTGTTGCTGCAAAAGACACAAGATAGAAAAGAAGAAGTAGAAAAAGGTTAGGCGTCCCGCGTCACTCGACGGAATCAATCACATTAGTCAAACATCTGTGTGTCAGGTGAGAGGGATGAGTGACTTAAACACTGAGAGGAGAGTGAAGAAACAACTCTGCCTTCACCTCACGGGGTCACGAGGCTGCTCTTCAGAGGGAGAACCTTTTTCGAGACAAACCATTTGACGGCCCGTTCACAGCGAGGCAAACACGGGAGCTTATTCACAGCGATGGACCAAAACAGGTGAGGTATATGCAACTTTTTTTTTTTTTCTTTACCGGTCAGGTAAGATTCCTTCTGTAACTGAAGCGTTTATTTAAAGCTTCCAAAGAAATGAAACCAAATGAGGGAATGTTTTCCCACAAAGGCCATCGCATGACACTGCCAACTCCAAGCGAGTCCAAAATGTAAACTAATAAATTAATAGGTCATCGAACATGTCCTCCATTACGGTTTCATTGATGGATACAGCCCCCGTCACGTTCAGCCTGTGAACCAGGTAGAAAATGATGTGCCGTCTCATTCAAAGGAAGCCGCAATAAAAGCAGAGTGAAAACTTATTTGTTTAGCTCAATAAAAGCAGCAGTCAAAATATTTTGAGCTTAAGTATCAATGGAATGAAATTAAGTCTTTAATGATTCTGTGGAAAACGACTTAATCAAAAAATCCCTCAGCCCAACTGCTTTTAAGCTAAAATCTAATTAGTGGTGGGTGCGTGTTGATACGAGCCAGCCGATTCA